TTAAATTTCCAGAATGTTTTTATTTTTATTTTTTGGAAGTCTTAATATTTTCGGAATTCCCTCCCTTTTCAATATCCAGCCCCTTTATTTTGTGTCCAGCCCCCTCTATTTATAACCAAACTCTCCTTATTTAAATTAAATCCCACTATCTTCCACCCATCCCCCTTTTAATCCCACTACCATATGTCTTGTTCCCCATTACTGATTAAACAAATACATTATCCCCTCCACTATATCTTGTCCCTCATGCCTACCTTAAACAATTATATTATTCTCCCACTACATTATGTCTTGTCCCCCACCATGTACTATTTAAATATTATTTAATCTTAATGGACAGAGCACTCAAAATAAAAAATTGTTCAGATTTTCAATTCCAAAAATACCCCTCCGAAATTACTGAAATTACCATTTTACCCCTGAAAATACTGCAATTGACCATTCTAACCCCGTTAGCTATAACCAATTCACCTAATCAATTCTAACCAAAATATAGCAGCTATAACCAATTCCTAATTAAATTTTATGAACAAACTTAAACTAAATGATGAACAACAAGGAAACAACTGGAATTATTTTGACTGAACAATATTTTTTAACAACAAACCTATTTTCAGATTCAACAACAATAACAAACAAGTATATTCAAATCATTGAGCTCAAATTCAAATTAAACTTAAACAAAACAAATAAACAGATTCAAATCACTAAACTCAAATAATCAAATGATCTTCAAATTAAATCCAACAACATTACAACAAAGATGCATGATTCAAACTAAATCAAAAAATTAAAAAACAAAACATAAACTCACATTAAATCATTGGATTAAAAACGAACTTCAAACAAAAAAAATGAACACGAATTAAATCTAAATTAAACAACAAAGAACGGATTCAAGCGATTAAACTAACACTCTATATTAAAACTAAATCATTTTAACTTAATAAAAACAAACTGAAGAAATAATTAATTGAACTTCAACTTAAATCTAACAATATTATAATTAAACTAACAATTTCTATCTAAAAAATAAACAAGAAAAATGAAACAAACTGAAGAAAATAAAAAAAACGATAAACATGAATTGGTTAAACCAACTAACCGGATCGGAACGACGATGAACTCAAACCAAGACTGTCAATGACCTAACGGATCTCGACTTCAACGACAACCCACCTTCTCTTTTAACCTCGACGAACTTAGAACGACAAACGACGAACAACAACGGACTCAAACGAAAACCAAATGAAACCTTGATAGAACTTCGACGGACTTTAACCGGACTGCCTCGCTTTTCCTCCGTGTATGTGCGTGTGGTCATGGAAGCATCAGGGTGAGTTCTTGGGTGTTCTTTGTTGGAGGTCGACGAGGCTTAGGCCATGGTGAAGAAGACAAAGACGAAGCAACAGTAACAGCAGCAGCGCTGCTTGTCGCGATGGAGTTGGTGGTTTGGTTTCCATGGCGGACGGGGAGGCTGGGCAGCTGGTGGTCAGCTGGACGTGAGGGAGAAGCCAGTTGAAGATGAAGCAGCAGAAGCAGCAGCCTTCCGGAGTTCGACGTAAGGGCTGCCATGGATGGCGACTGTGTGTGTGCATGTCGAGCAGCTGGTCGTGAAGCAGAAGACGCAGCAACGCAGCAGCCATGGTCATGGTGAAGCTGGAAGGAGAAGAAGAAGCATCGACATCAGCTGCCATGGAGGTGAGGACGATGAAGGTTGTTCGTCGTTGCCGTTTGAGCTTGGGACGAAGAAGATGAAGACGGGGCAGCCNAATTTAACAAATAAATATGCATGGACAAATACACATAATTATTTAAAATGCCACGAAAATTCTCAAAATTGCACACAAAGGAGAATTGTTTTATTTTGAATTTTTTGGGAGTAATTCTCTCATAGGGCAAAAATCTCGTGCTTACACTACATGACAATATCAGTTGTGTTGATTCTAATTTTTCACACGTGGACAAAGAGTTAGGTGATTTATAAGTTTACCTTTAAAAATAAAGTTTACATTAGATTACAGAAAGTATACTATAAAATTAATATTTAATAAATTTTTTAATATTTAAAACTTTTAAATTAATAAAATTTAAACTATTAAACCTTTTCTTATTTGAACTATATAAAAACTCCTAATTACTCGAAATATTTTTACTTTTATTTCTTTTTTAAACTAACTAATTTTTTACCACGTTCTTTTCTTCTATAATTTTTTAAATAAAAATTAGTGTTTCCAATTTTGTTAAAAATTCTTAATGGTCGTGTTGATTAGAAGATGGTGATAATAAATAAATTTAACAAGATTGTTGCAAGGAGATTAAAATTAATTATCTATTCTTTTGTATATTTGGTTGATGATACTAAGGATATATACTAACTATAAGACCATGAGTCGATTAAGACTTTAGTATTTTAATTTTAAATAAATTAACATTTAAATTTAAAGTTTTAGTATGAATTTTCACTCTATATTTTAAAGATTTTTTGATCTTATATAATTGAAAATTTATTTTATTCTAGAAAAAAATTAATTACTTCACCATATATTAAAAGTAGTAAGAAAAAAAAATATATCAGAAAATACTGAATTAAAACACTTTATTTCCAAGGCAATACCTTAATTTACTATAATGCATATTTCCTTCAACTAGATGAATGAAAAAGTTTGTTACATAATTTGACTTTAAGAAAAATAGAAATTAGGTATGAAATTCGTCTCATAGCTAATGGGAATTTTCTTTTGATAATCTGTCACTAATCCATAGCTAAAGTTTACTTAGAAATTAATATTTACTGTTTAGGTAAATAATTTATTTGTCGTAATTTTTTTAGTTGCTCTGTCTAGAATACATATTACCTAGACAATTATTTTTATTTTAAGTTAAAGCAAAGAAGGATAAATGATAGATCACTAAGTTATCAAAATTATCTTGATTGTTTTCATGCTTAGCTAGGTCATCTTCTATTTTGTTGACTAAATAAGATCAATATTCATCATTTTCAAGAACTTATATTTTTAAAATTTATATTATAACTCATACATATTATTTAATAATATTTATATAATTTTAAAATATATATACTTATTGATATAGGATACACACGCATTGCACGTATCCTAAAACTAGATTTCAATATGATCAAGCATTATTATTAAGAAAATTCCCTTAAGAATAATAGTTATTCTCTTTAATGTTAAGAATGAATAATTAAGTCCTAATTTACCAGAAAAGTCTTTGATTTTACTAATGTGTAGAAAATCCAAGTCATTCTTTTTAAAATTCATCATATAAATTGGTTATAGGTAATTGTTAAAAATACAAACATTATACAATAACATGAAGCATTAGAGACAAAATATATTCTCAATGAGTTGTCATTACTTATTTTTCTTTCTTTCGATATTCATTTAAACAAATGACAACTCTCTATATTTTTCTACGTACAAAGTTACTTATTGTAAACTATTATCTTAATGCAGGCATTTTAAAACTTACTATTTGATAATTTAATTTACTTGTTCTTCTTGTACATATATTTTATTGATTGATGCAAAGCATTGACGTGAAATACACGTGCAATGTACGTACACTAAAGCTAGTTTCTAACAAGTCTAAATAATATTCACTCTAAATTTCTCACAAAATCAAATTCGAAATTTAAACCCATATATTTAAGCTTGTTAAAAATCTAATTTCATCATCCAAATGAATTTGATTTGTTGAACTAATATTTGAGTCACAGTTACTGATTCGAAAATTAACTTAAAAGCTTGAGGAATCTTTTTTAAAAATTAAATAGTAATTTTGAGAACCTATTGGAGTTGAATGTTGAATCTTAACCTATTATTTTTGGGCTAGTTGGTTGTAAATTGAAATATGAGCAATAAAATTGAAAAGTAGGAAACCTAGTTGTTCTAATGTGAAATTTTCCCATAGAAATTCTACAACAGAAGTTAAACTCAAAATGGAAACACAAAGAGGAGGGGAAAGAAAACCTGAAAATGCCCAAAATCTTGACTGGCTTTAATTATTTGCTGAACTATTGCAGATTGGCTTCCAGCTTTACTGAAGTCTATAATTGGGCTGTAACCTCTTAAAGGAACAATAGAATTTCAATCTCTATCAGTCAATTTTTGCCATATATTTATGTGTGTCTACAGTCTATTTGATCTCTGTTTTCTAGCATTAAACTAACCCTTCTTAATCATGCATTTTCTTCTTTTGCTTTCTTATAAAGCCATATTAGCTTAAACATAAGCGTTTTTGCTGAGTAGAATGAAATGGAAAAACATCAATGAAAACTTAAACAAGTCACACCAGTGAAAGTTTTTAAGATTTCTTCAACCATACAGTAAATTTAAAAAAGTATCCTCACACAATAAGAGAGAACTTCAAGCTTACCGAGCCAAATTAGCAACTACTTTATACATAAAACAGTAGTCTGAACTCACAGCTTAAAATGAGGAAGAGCTGAAGTACATTCTCGTACGTTCTTCTGGTAATAGGCCATATATTCAAGATTCGAGACTGACTTGTATAACGGAGGATCTTTCTCTGATAACAGCTCTTTGATTGGTCCATATTGCTTTAACAAACATTCAGAACTGGGGAAGAAGAAACATACTGCTGATACCCTTGATCCAACAGGTCTAGCGAGCACTCTATGCTCCACGCTCTTGAACTTGTCGTTAGTTATAAGCTGCAACGTACATTTTGAAATCAAATCTCTACGTAAAAAGCAACGAAATATTTGCAAACTGAAAAAAAGTTGCAGACTTGACAGAACTCTTAACGAATTACCTGCATAAGATCTCCAATGTTTACGACTAGAGCACCAGGAATAGGTGGCACGTCAACCCAATGATTTTGATAAAGAACCTGAAGACCACCACTAGAATCCTGAACTACCATAGTTAAAAATGTCGAATCTGAGTGGTTGATTGTGCCTAAGGCCAGTTCTGGCTCGGGGCAAGGTGGATAGTAAAGACAAGTCAAGTATTCACTTTTTACACAATTTATCTGTGCAAGATAGTCACTGCTTAGACCTAAGGCTTCTGAAAGTAACTCAGAGATGGTTTCTCTGACCTTGATCATGTATTCCATGTAGTCTGTTATTTCCTTTCTGCATAAGCATTTAGATTATACATCGATGTGATGGCCTAAATAGAAATATCGTGTTTTACAAATAAACAAGATAACTAGAAAGTCTATTTGTGATAAAAGAAAATCGAAGCATATGATACTTAATAGCACAGAAAGAAAGAGCCTGACATTCATTCCATCATGAATATTCATAAATTAACCTACTAAAAGAGGCGCGTGCCTTGTTGCGGAGATTAGATGAAACTTCCAATCATTCACCTCGATTGTGATACATTCACTTCTAGTTATATGATCAACGAGCTGATTTACAGCAAAGAGACAAGAGGGGTTGCTCAGATGGTCAATACCCCCCACCTATAACCCTAGGGTCGTGAGTTCGAGTCACCAAAAGAGCAATATCTCCAACAAAGGGGATCAAAGGAGAATCAAAAGGGGAGGAGGATTAAAAAAAAAAAAGGGGGCCAAAGATAGCTCGGGTGTGTAAGACAGTATCATTTGGCCGTTTAGGCGTCCAGTACAGTCAAAACTCTGGACCAAAGACACTTCAACTGAAAACCACTTAGGAATTAGGATATACCATGTCTCATATTCCAAGCAAGTGGGTTCGGTTATATATGAATCCTCACCAACCATGTTGCTCCATTTAAACTCATCTCATATCAATATAACACAAAATTAAAATAAAAAGTACTAGAAGTTATCTATATTCTCTAATGGCATATAAATCGCTGACAGCTAATAAAAGACTCCTGGAAAACATAGGACCTAACGAGCATGTACTAATCGCAAACTTATTAGGATATGTCATATAAATGATCTATATCTTTTCAATTCTATTCAGGTCAATTTCATTCCAATATTGGTAAATTTGATTTTTTTATAAAATGTACCTGCAGATGAGAGGAATAGCTTCTGGATCCAAAGTGTCATCAATGAAAGTACAAGCTAAGGCATCTCTCCAACTGGCCACATGAGTTTCTTGAAAAGATCCATTAATAGTAAAGACCCTAACTTTATGCCTATTATCAGAAGAATACAGATCCATTCTAGCTTCCTTAGGCTGTTCATGAAAATTTCTAGTGGTTTCAAGAATTGCATCCAGTATACTAACTGGAACCCCATGATTTACAATTTGAAAAAATCCCCAATCTTGAGCTGCGTTTTTTATTTCCTCAACAATTCCCCTTCTCCCACCACTGCCACTTTCAATTCCTTGCAAGTCTATGACAGGGATTTTCAGCTGAATGTGGCCATTCTTGCAAAGTGATGGATTTTTGGTCAAATTATCTGATGATGGGTAAATGAAAAATCTTGGTATTTTTGTGATACCAGAATCTACTAGCCCTTTTACACCACCTTTTGTGGCTTCAAATTCCTTTACTTCTTTATCCCAATCATAATCATAATCACTAGGGATTGCCATGATAAAAGCTGATATATTAGCAGTATCTGTGTTAAGGCTCAAGATTCTGACTGCAGGAAAATGCAAGATTGAAGTTGACTCAAGAGAGCTTCTTCACTTTGATTTATTACTGTACTAACTTCAGATTGATTCCAATAGACAGTTGTGTTTTGTTAAAAAAAATACATGTCCCATGTGGAAGGTTGACTTTGTGTCACGACCTAATTTTCTAACATTAATTGAACAACAACAATATTTAAATAACATTTAACAATTTAAATAGAAGTCTCTTTAAAATTTACAACTCCAAAATCGATGATATAAGTCATAAGCTTTACAAAGTGTTTGCTAGAAACTTCTAAATAAAGCTATTCAAAAATAAGGATAACAGTGCAATACAAAACTAGAAGGTGACTCCGAAGCCTGCGAACGCAGCAGCAGGTTTACCTTGAGTCTCCACAACAACGATCCATACGGCTACTAATGATCAATTACCTGGATCTGCACAAAAATGTGCAGAAGTGTAGTATGAGTATACCACAGTGGTACCCAGCAAGTATCAAGACTAACCTCGGCGGAGTAGTGACGAGGAACAGTCAAGACACCTACTGGACTAAATAACCTGAAGGAATATAAGTGTAGGAATAACCGGGCATGATATCTATACAAGGACTACGCATAATGACAATGATAATAATACGGTAATTACAGTAAGAAAGGAAAACAACAACTAATAGAGGAATACCATAATAATTGACACAGAAGAATGAGTGGAACACAGTTTGAAATTCGGTGAACACAGATAGAGGAAAGACAAGTAACAACGCAACAAAACACGATCGTTTTCACACCAGGCTCCAGCCAATAACCATTCATGAGGTACCGAACCTCAGAATATTTATATTTCACGGGTCCCAATTCTGAAACCCAAAACACTTGGCACTCTGTGTCCTCTTTACCAATTTATTACTCAACAATATCAAGGTTTCATCCTTTTGCCAATAAGAGTGATTAATTGTGTGTATGCTTGCGCAAGTGTCCTAACATAGTCCATGTCAGCTAGTAAGTATAGAAAAGGAATGGGCCACACGTGGAATGTTTTCCCACAATTTTTCACAAAATAGAACTCACACAGGTAAGTACACCACTTCACTAGTATCAACAACAAGAATGCCCCCAAGCAATCATAAGTCATCACAAACTAATCTCTTACACAACCCACCTTGTCTCGCCACGTGTGTAATAATAATATAAATACCCGCCTTATCTCGCCACACGTACATAATAATATTTTNACCCAACAACACCCCCACGACAGAAACCTCATGCATCACAATAACAACCGCATGGAAGAAAATTGTGCACATCAACAACAAGTACAACAGCAACAATGACAATAAATACAAGAGTACGACAAGTAAATCAACTCAAGAACTTTCGATCACAAAAAAACGGTAGAACTAGCTCACAAGGAATAGCCACAATAGAGAATACTAGGCGTAATAAGAACAGCTTAACAAGGGAGAAAATAATATGTATCAATGATCCCACAATAACAATATACAGTTCAACAACAAGGGAGCTACACGAGTCAAATAATTCCAAATAAAGACATGTCAACTAAGATATATGATATCTACACTTCTTGTAAGGTTGGGCAATTACGATGAAGATACGACAAATTCAATTAAGGATAAGCAACGGAATGATAATCATAACCTCAATTAATACTAAACAATTATAGGAGAGATAATAATAATTTCAAATAAGGACAAGCAGTTGTGAAAAGATAGCATGACAATAGAAGAAGTAAAAATCTTCAGTTAAGTTAAATAGGAGTCAAATTACCCATAAGAATGAACCATAAAGCAATTAATCCCATTAAAGCAGGTAGAGTGAAAACTAACAATTAAGAAAACTTAATCATAACAAAACAACTTCATACACAGTGAATACAAGAACCTAAGACCCTAAAAGGCCAACTTTCCACAAATAAGTTCGAGCACATACTCGTCACCTCGCGTACAAGGACTACAATTAGCATAGAAGACTCAAACCCTAAGGGGTAGTTCCCCCACACAAGGTTAGGCAAGATACTTATCTCAAGGAGACAGACTGTTACTCTAAAATGAACTTCTCGAGTGAAATGACCTCCGAACGGCTCAAATCTAGCCAAAATAACTTCAAAGCATAAATAAAACTCATAAGAAACTATTTTGGATCATAAAGCCTCAATCTTTATCAAAATATAAAAATCGACCCAAAAGTCGACCCTCGGGCCCGCGCCTTGGAACTCGACAAATATCACAAAACCCGAATACCCATTCCGATACGAGTTCAACCATACTAAAATTATCAAATTCCGATACAAATTCACCCCTCAAATCATGATTTTTCATTATGAAAGTTTTCTTCAAAAATTCCCATTTCCTCAACTCAAAACATAAATTAAATGATAAAAATAAAGAACAAATCATGGAATATAATAAATTCTAGGTGAAGAAAACTTACCCAATCGATTTGCTTGAAAAACCCACAAAGAAGCTCTCAAAATCGAAGTCTAAAACTCAAGATATGCAGAAAATGGCAAAACCCTCAAATATAAACTCTCTGCCCAAGACTTTCGCATCTGCGGACAAATAAACACATTTGAGAGCAGACATTCGCAGCTGCGAACTTAACTTGCCAGCCCCAGGTCCACATATGCGGACAACATAGCCGCACCAGCGGCACCGTAGAAGCGATGACAGGAGCGCAGAAGCGGGCTCCTTCGCAGACGCGATCCCTCAACCGCAGAAGCGAGCTAGCTCCCAAGCCTCAACAATCATAGAAGCGACCAGGCTCACGAAAAAATGAATCCGCACCTGCGCTCCAAAGTGTCGCATGTGGAAAAATACCAAAACCAGGCCTATTTAAGACTATGAAAAACATGTGAAACTCGTCTGAAACACGCCCGGGGCCCCCGGGACCACGTCCAAGCATACCAACAAGTTTCATACCTTAATACGGACTTGCTCGAGGTCTCAAATCACATCAAACAATGTCGAAACTACGAATCGCACCATGAATCAAACTTATGAACTTTCACATCTTCCAACTTCTAAAACTCATGTCGAAACCTATCAAATCAACCTGGAACGACGCGAAATTTTGCAGACAAGTCCCAACTGACATAACGGAGCTGTTCCAACTCTCGAAATTGCATTTATGCCCAGATATCACAAAAGTCAACTATTGGTCAAACTTTTCCATCTTCCAAACTTCAACTTTTCCAACTTTTACCGAAATGCTTCAAATTACCCTCCAAATCCTAATACAGACACACACCAAAGTCCAAAATCACCATACGAAGCTATTAAAATCATCCAAAACCCGTTCCAGAGCCGTTTACATAAAATTCAAATTATGGTCAATTTTTACCGCTTAAGCTTCCAAAATTGAAATCATTCCTTCCAATTTGACTCTGAATCATCCGATAACTGAATTCAACCATGCACGCAAGTCAATACACATAATACGAAGATGCTCAAGACCTTATGCCACTAAACGGAACTTAAATTCTCAAAACGACCGGTCGGGTCGTTATATCATCTCCCTCTTAAACATACGTCCGTCCTCGAACGTGCCAAGATTCGCCTCGAAGTCATGAAATCATTGAATGCACACTTCTAACATACACATGTGGGTGACCCCACGTCACCCTAATCTTCATAAGCCTGACGACACCATCTCAGCTGTAATTTACCTCTTCCACAAATACCGAAAAACCTTAGAGTTAAAAATTGTCACTTTCTGACCATCTCCAAAAGACCCGATTCTTAAATTTACACCCAGTATCAGTCTTAACCAGCTGTAACAACTTATGCCTACCCCTACAAGGTACAACCATACAACATGACACCACTCATAGGCCCATAATAACATTTCTGATCAGAATTGCTGCCCGAAATCAAATCCAGCACCGGCAGTTAGCCGCATATCTGTTAAACTCTATTTCAAACCTTTACAAACACTGATAGTGATGCAAGGAACACAAATACCTCATAACTATACATCCGAATCAGCAAGTCACAGCTAACACCACAGGGCACATACCCCACAAGCTAAAACTCAAGGAACACAGAACAAAAATGATTGAATATTTAAGGAGAAACACATAAGAGAATTATGAAACAAGCCCGACAGGCACAACTCTCTATCAGTACTATTCTGCAAATCAATTTACAAGGAGAAAATCAAAGTAAATAAACAAATCACAAGGATCTCATCTTGATACAACTTCCACTGCGGTCCACAACCTGATTCGAACATATCAAATCACAATAAATCGCAAGGGTCCTACCCTCAACTCTGAATCACAAGTAGAATATACATCAAACCAACTGAAACCTTCCACTAGATCAATTCTGCTAATAGAATTACAACACGTACTTGCTCCCACACCGATGGAGCATCTAAATCACAGATCGTAACCAAAACACTTAGGAATCACATCAAAACTTACTGTAATGGACAACATGAATTCACTACTAGCCTCGTAACTCTCAATAATAAATAAAACAATAATAGACACGGCTACCACTCATAGAATCTCCCGTCAGGGGTAAACACATAAACAAAAGACTAAATCATGAACTTACCCATAGGTGGAGTAACAAATAGGGGAACTCACCCCGATAAGCAGAATTGTAACAAAATACGGATGATGCTCCTCTATAACAAATTGAAAACATACCAATATGACATCACCTGGCGCAGCGGCCTCAAGCCTAGTATATGAAAACACATCAAGGGGTCAGGCCTCCCCCTCTTGGGCGCCCTTTACTCGCCTGAATACCCCATTGTGACACACCTGCCCGGAGTCTTGGACAATCTCTTACCATGTGGCTGGTATCTCCATACTCAAAGCAACCTCTCTACTGACATGGTTATGGGAACTGTGCGATACGGGTACTTTGAGACCCATGAGCACCTTAAAAACCATGTGAAGCCTGAAGTGCAAACTGATCTAGCTGACCCACAAGACCTCTACTATGCCAGACCTTGCCTCCAAAATAAGGGCCAGTGGATCTCTCCGGTCTACGAGACCTCCTCGCTTCCTTGTCCTCTTTCTCCTGACCTCGCATGCCCTCTCTCTCCTAGCCTCGTCTACCTTTTC